CATACCTGTGAAATGGAATGGCACAAAAGCTCAACTGGATTATAACACAGACACAACTCTGACATAACTACTGTCACAAAGCCTAAATGTAAGCAAATGTTGGTATTTAAATAAGTGTGGCACTAGAGAATCAAATGCAGATATATGATCCCACCCCTTTAGTGCTTTATCAGCCAAGTGATAAAGATATTACATTATATGCTTCTATATAACAATACGTTAACTGGGCTCAATTAAACTTTATGAAAGGCGAGTAATTAGGCCTAATTGAAACAGATTATGTATTGTATACTACTAATTAGTGATGTAGTCACGAACACCAAAACCGAGACCAAATCATTACCAAGACTAGAGTGTATTGAGACAGGGACAGAACCAAGACCAAGACAAGAGTAAGACCAAGGTAGGGTGAGATGGAGACAAAACAAACACCAAGGCAGAGATTGACCGAGACAAGACTAAGACCAAAGAAGGGCTAGACCAAGTCAAGATAAGAAACAGATTAATGTATGAGTCTATATAACACTACACACTATAAAATGTGGAGCAGAAGCACCATCTTGGGGCTAGGCAGTATGGCCTAAAATTTGTGTCACAGTATAATTTGAACCATTGTTTCTTAAAATTTCAATATAAATGCTTTTGTATAAATGTAACATTTTTTTTCAAATAAGACATACCTTATTGGTTGCATTTGAACTTTGACGCAGGCTGTTTTACACCCAATCACAGTACTGAGTTAACCCTTTGAATCCTATCCATTTTTGAGCATTTTTCTATCCTTTTGATTTTAGGCTTATTACATTGTATGTACATGAGTTAGCCACATATGCTTTATGGATTTGTTTTCAGGACATTCTGGGCTACGTCATAATAGTCTTGATATCATCCTTCTTAAGAGGAAGAACAGCTTGCGCCATTTGAAATTTCTCAATTTTTAGTCTTGTCTAACATAAAAAAATTGCAGGCACTACACATCTAATCTGATAATCGTTCAGATTAGAGTCTAGATGATGTGGGAATGCAGGGGTTTCATTGGGGACCTTTCTATGGCTTAGTATTATGAAGGAAAAGGTACATGGTTAGTGCCAGACGGAAATGAATATCTTTGATTTTGCATCCATTTGGTAACTTGTTGAAGTTATCGGATAGACAGCAATGCATAGTTTTATATTTTTTATTTGTTACTTTACAAGATCTGAAAAAAATAAAAATGGAAAACCATTGTTTAGTTTATGATCTACTGGATAAACACAGACATAACAGCCGGTTTTATAGTCTAATACTTAATGTTTATCGCTATCGGTATTTCGCCTATATACGTTATCATTGGTAAAGTGAAATTTGAGATTTTTTTTGTCGCATTTTAGCCTTAAACAACACACCAACGCTTTAGCACGTTATTGTGTTTACATGTAGGAGGTGTTCCAATTACACAACTGGCACGTTCTATTTCAACTGTTTTGACGGAGCTCGAAATTAAACATAGGCCTACATATATATACAAGCTTTTGTGAATATTGCGAAAATATCAAATAATTGTCGTCCTAATAAACAGAATGTTGCGTTTTGTTGTAATTTCTAGTAGAACCCCAGCCCATTTTTGAGTCTTTTTCTATCCCATTATTTATAGGCTTATTATAATTAAATTCTTAAAGAAATATTTTTCCCAGAAGGGTAGTGCATAGTTTTCCGTCGAGTGTGAATAATATCGAGGTTTTGTGGATTATTAGGGGTGTTTTTTTACGGAGAATGTTTAAAATATATGCCTCATTGCGCACAGGATTACACTGGAATATTTTAGCGAACAACGTTGCAATTTAGACTACAGGATCGAATAAGTTCTATCCATTGCAAATATATGCCATTCACATAAGTGCGTTATACCTACCCAAATGAACGATCCTGAGATTAATTAATCGGGGTGGGCAAAATCAACACATTTTGCGTCTGTCGGGTTCTAATTAACAATCAGATATAGGCCTAATATTAAGCAGGTATAATAAATACTGAGGAAAATTGATGAGTGCTCTTGACTGGTCTTGAAATAAAACCTCGAGTACTTTCTGTCGGAGACAAAATTGAGTCAAAATAACGTCGATTCCGAGACGAGACCAAGACCGCAAAAAAGTGGTCTCGAGACCAGTCTCGACTTCTACTACACTAATACTAAAACGACGAGGGTTAGAAGAAAACCATGTAATACAACGCATATTGTATGACAACATCTCCACCTTGTGTCAACAGTTAAAAACGACAGTTTATTTGTCACGAATCACTTTTTATTTCGTTAACCAAGATTCAGGTGAACGAATTTCCGCACAATAACGAAGACAAAACTAGAATAACAGTGTTTAGCCGTGTTTTGCTTAATTATATACCAAATACAAATTAGGCGCTACAACGCCCACAAAAATGTCGGCGTTCCTGTTTAGTCGAGCATAAGTTTTCGGAAACGCAAACTGATTTCTTATACATAATGTTTCTTATACGTTATTCC